CAAGATTTGGGTAATCTCCATCCGAATTACCCCGGCCTCGCATCCGCTCGGCCGCCCCGTAACAATGTCAATAAAGTAAAATTCATCTATACCTTTTTTGGCGGTAACGCCATTTTGGATACTCGAGTGGTATCACAAGCTACCGTGTCATATCACCGATCTTTGTTATGTATGTTAACGTTTATTACATTCTACATTGTGAATTATACGAAATGAAGTACTCCATATGTCATTTCGGTAGAATGATTACAAGGAGATCGAAGTAAAACTCAAGAAATCCCTTGGATTTATGATTTTTTATACTCTAATCGACCAACGACGCCATGCGTCACATTTAGCGGTAACTAATTTTTTTACTCTAAGAACAGTCATACAGCAGGTATTCTTACGAGATATCCGAGAAGTTCACTACACACATGTATAAAACTTTTCTCAACATTTCCCACATGAATTTGTAATATTCGACTCTATAGTGTTCTAAACTGTTATACCTAGAACGTAAAGGTTTCCGATTCTCTCAAAAGGCATAAAATATAAACAATGTATCCTTGGATATAGTCTGGTATAAATAACAAACATTTTTTAATTAAATTTCTTGAGCATCGCGTTCTTCCTTAGGATCTCCATAATCACGTGTTAAAGCTTTGGTAAATTTGGTGCATGCAGTTCGGAGAAAAGTTTTCTAAATATTTTGACGCTTCAGAGGCCACTTTCGTTTCATCTTAAAATGCATCCGTCAATTCCGAACAAATGTCACAACAAGAACTGTAAATGAAGCATTGCTGTTTGATAATTACAGCTTACAGAAAACTTGCACACCGTTTCTAAAAATGTATCGAGAAAAACGTATTTTTAAATGTACTAACACAAATATACCATTTTATTTTCTCTTTGGTGAAGTAACTGTTAATCTGCTACGGCTGCTTCGTAAATTAGACCCTTCGTTTCAGGTGTAGCATTTAAACAATTTTGTTCAGTTTACAGTAGGCTAACTTAACCTTTAACGAATAAGCTATAACCGATTTGTATACAAAAAATATGACTCATAAGATAAATTGGGACAACTAGGCCATGAGTCATTTCCCTCCATATCGTTTGATTTTTTCAACTTTTGACAGAGGTACTGCATGGAAGTGCTTAAGGCAAACATCAATCGCATTTAAGTTTACTAATATATTAGTGCAGTTATAAGTTTCGTAATTTTTACACTTTTGTATTTTCAAACATCTCACATTGTGGGATTTTATCAGCCGCCATGATGACAAAATAGTAAGCAGTATTTTATATTCTCTATGTTCTAATGCATCGTAATACGTAATGTAATTAATTCTGATGATCAGAAACATGTGTACATATTTACGCCCAATTGTAGAGGGTATGATCCAGTTATTTGGAAAAATAATGTAAAATGTGGTAAGTGGGCCACGTGTGTGGGGTATTTGGGCCCGTTCTTGATCTATGTATTACGCTGGTGGTTTAGATACTCCAACACAATTATTGCATTGAGTTTTGGCGATTTGCGATGAGTGTTAACAATTATTGCAATGGATTTTTGGCGATTTAGCAGTCAAGGTCACTATGGCGACATGTAAAACTATGGCCCAGTCACCCCGATTTACTTTACAGTATCAACGTAGCATATAATGATTATGATTCATATTGTTCGATCCCAAACTTGTCTTTTGAATCTCCCACAAACGTGGATGGTTAGCAACGTTACATATTATTATAAGTCGTCAAGTTAATGGAATATAACAAAAATATTACTTCTGTACGTTGCCGAAATCAGAAACGGTAACAATATTCAGTAATAAAACGTCTCCAGTTTCTTTCTTTCGTAAGTCTCTTTAAACTAAGAAAAATATAAATCCTTATTCAATTACTATGAATTACATTCTTATTGAACATCAACTTCATATTTCTGTAATGGAACCATTAAAATGGTTACATTGCATAACTTACCATCTACCATTTTTGTAAATGTCATTTTTTAATCAACACACTTCTCACATTCTTTGAACCAGTCTTGCTTTGCCGAAGAACGTCTAGGCCTTAATATCTATCACATTTATGTATTGTATCACTTGGCTTGAGGATTGAACTTATTAAGAAATATTTATCAAGTCTTATACACACGATTTTAAAAAATTGGATTCGAAATCTATCATTTGTGTTCATATGATACAATTTTATCACTCGGTTTTAACTATCGCTGAGTAATTTCTAAAGACAACCTGGTTGAAAAAGATGGTTCAACGTCCTTTGAGTGATAGTTATTTTCTGTTACCATGCTTTATGGTCGAAAACTAGAATTAATTAAAATACTTTACACCGAACGCCATCGATTCAATATCCGTACATTCTCCATTTCCTGAACGGAAGGAACTGTTGTGAAGTATTTATGTTTCATTGTAGTCATATAAAAGTTTAAAAATATCTCTATGCGTCATTCATTGAATTACAGGCTACCGTTGTTATCTACAGTATATGCATACATTATGGCTGCACCGTTTTTTATACACTAATTTCAATGTCAGCGGTAACAGCTTCTGAAAATTATTCAATTTTTTCTACAGTTTGCAAGAATATATTTGGTTTTGCGTGCCTAACGTTCAAAGAAGATATGAACTTTCCAAACTCGAAAGTACTCAGTTATTAATGTGGCTCTTTGCACAATTCCCAGTACTGAAACTAAGAAAATGATTGCTTCTTCTGTAACAAAGATAGTTAAAAAATTGCATAACGCAAAACGTAAGAATTTACATTTTTATCCCTCTAACTTACATTACATGAGCTCAATAAGTTCTGATCAAAGTAGATTTTCATGGAACCCACTTACTTGAGCTTGTAGTGATCAAAACAAACTATTTCTGACTGATCCTTGGTTAGGCAGGTTCCTCATAAACAAAAACATTAGCAGAAAATAATGCTATATTAAATTCATTAATGTACGCCGAACTTCTAAAGAATCTAGTTGAAATCACTAGCGATCACTCAAGTATCACCCTCGTTTTAATTTGTCGGCGGATATAATCATATTTTTAAGACACATGAATTTACGTTCCAAATGAAGGACATTTCGTTTTTGACTACGCAACCAATATGTTATAATGTTGAACTTTCATTATAATACGGTTTCTCAAAGAGATTCTTTGTTTCAAATTCTGCTAATTCGATTTTATTCTACCTTTTGAGGAAATTAATTTTTCAATTTCGTAGAATAAGTAAAAAGTAAAATCGTTAACTTAATATAGTAGTGCCACCTATTAGGCCTTCGAAATTCCGTTTTGTATAGTAACTTGTATAGAACAAGGCTATCATTCACTTATAGAGGAACTGTGCCTAGAAGCTGTTAGGTCATTAATTGTTGAATTGTGCCGTGTCTTTCTAGAACCTTCATTGTCGTTTACAAGATTAGGATTTACAGAATGAGAAAGAGCCGCTGTTTTATTGAAATCTATGGTAGCATATCCCTTAACGGGTTTGTTCGGCGAATCTGGTGGGGACGGTATTGTGTTTGAAGTGCCCTCTGGAGTCGCTATCGATAAGGAATTTCCCTTATCCAAATCCAATACAGCATAGTTGACTTCTTTCAAAGAACCAGCCGGTGGCGTGGAGGGTGGTAAAGGTGATTTTTCTGCAATCGAAATTCCTGAGAATCTTTTCTTCAGACCTTCTATTTCACTAGATTCTAGATTGGCATAACAATGTCTAGAACCATCGTCCCAATCTGACTGGATTGGCGGTAAAGGTGGAGGTCGGGTACGTGTAACACAGGTGCTCTCTATTTGCTCTTGACCAGGACTCACGTTCATGTAGGCGTGGTCTGCACAATCCGTCTCATTATTTTCATCTTTTGGTAGCGTTGAATCTGAAATGCTGTGCGAGGGTGACAATGGACTGGCTTCACTACTGATGTCAATATTTATATATGACGCCATTGAGAGTGGGGGTGGTTTGGCTTGATGATGAACGAATTCTTGATGGGATTGCGATATTGCACAATCTAGTAAACCAAATCCACTGCCTGAGGTTGTACTGTTCACCGTACAGGACCTGTATCAAATTGTATAAAACAAATAAGATTATTATTAAGAAAGCAGAGAATGATAATGTGTTAAATGCACTTACGTACGGTTACAGTAAAAAAGGAAAGAATGAAAAGAAGGAGGGAATGTATGTATGTTAATATTCTATATCTATTTATCTATCCCCTTAGTCATAAACCTGTTTGAATACAAGACATTAGACACACTAACTGTGGCATTTCTACATCTTGGACAATGTTCGTGATAAGTTTCACTTTCGGGATATTTATACATTCACATAGGTTATTTACATTTATCAGACCAGCATCACACCAAAGTCATGGTATAAATGTGTATAATTCTTAGATTTCGTAGGCGAAACGTACCGCAAACTACGTGTCCAATATGAACGGATTCCACAACCGATGTGTTCAATAATTGTGAACCCGATGCACTGACAAGGAAATATTCCCAAGTGTCCCATCCCGATTTCGATAATTTTTATATATGTTGTAGAACTTGAAAATCTAAGAGACACATATTTTTTTTTTACGTGTTAAGACTGATATCTAGGGGATGAAACAACTCCTCAAAGTTTGATGAAAAAAATCGATTTTTTTATTCTTTCACAGAACCACTCCACGGATTTCAATGAAACTTGGCATAAATATATCTCGCGTAAGGAGGATCCAGAAACGATACAACACTACACGGTTGCACTCCTTCGACGGGGGTAACCACCCTTATCAATAATTTTTTTTTTTTCGGCGACAAATGATCCGATCAAAATAAAAACTGGATGCCGTTAATACTTGCATTAAATAAGAGTTTACGTGTGTTTGATATTTTTCGAGAACTACTATTTGATACTATAAATATTAATCAAGGGCAAGTAGTGTTTTTTTATGTGAACACTAGACGGATTTATATGAAACTCGGTACGAATATATTTCGTGTCGGTAGGATCAATAAATGGTACTGTTACGTAGGCACCCTCCGTACCCTAACCTAAAAAAAAACCATTTTCCGATCACCGAAAGCTAGCTATGGAAATTCGAATACGGAAACACGATTAGGAAACTCTTGTGAAAGGATCCAACAAGTTCATCGGCCAAACGGCTCCAAAAGTCATCGATCGACCCAGGGCGAACAACTTGATGACTACGCAACGCCCACCAATTGGAACACTTTGCTAATAAAACCAGCAGTCAGATCGGGACGACATGTCATTGTCATTAGTCATATCGTCAGTCTTTAGTCAAGTGTCATATCACCGAACTTCGAGTGGAGCTCCTGGTCCCCGGTACTCCGTTCCTAGCGAGTCAGAGACCGAGACCACCGGACTCCCTGTCGAAGACCATTTATGCTGCGAGCTGCAGTAGTGCCACCCGGTACTCCAGCGATCCAACGCACCGAGTCAGGAACAGACGGCGGCACTGCGACTTCCGTTGGACGGGAGACTTCTAGGAGACCTCCAACCCTAGGGCACGCTATGGGACGAAGGTGTTCACGCACAATTATCCGGCTGGGTCGATCAAAGCAGACTGTCACCGAATCCGGCCCATGATCAAGCCAGATCCTTTGCAAGTTCGATTTATCCACTTTTCATTCTAGTTTACTTCTTAACCCCTCATCTCCGAATAAACCGAAATTTAACCACTATCGCGATTTCCATGCCTTGCTCCGGTTAACCGGATAGATTAAGATCCCAGTAATTCCCTTCTAAAAGCTGAGCTCGAAATCTCAACATCGCGAGATAGACTAGAATCACGCGTAGACCGCCATTAACCAGCGAAGAATTCCTGCGTCAGCACTCGGGCGTCCAGTAACATACCGCCGCTGAAGCGTGCTATTGCGACACCCGAACCGCCGCGACGCAGAAGTATAATAACCCGGAGAAAAGTAGGTCAAGGCACCTTGGGTGCTCCTCCCAGCTGATTGTAAATTAAACATCACGAACGAATAAATTCAACAATCATAGCACACTAGCCATACTGCCATTCGTTCAAACCTCCTTTTCAGTCCTCACTTCCCTAAATCCCATCAGAGAAATTGATCTAGTCGCTCGGATTAATCTCCGCAGATTAGAATACTCGGTTCGCGCGAGATTCGGGTAATCTTTACACGAATCACCTCGACCTCGCATCCGCTCGGCCGCCACGTACCAGTACCCTCCGACACGGGAGCATCCCTCTAAAGGGGTGAACTACCCTTGAAAAAGATATTTTTTTTTTTGCTGCGAAGACAATTCATCCGACGGGAATAGAAATTTCACGACGATGATTCATATGGAAAATAAGGGTTCATATGTTTTTAGTTTTCTTTCAAAAACCATTATGTATCGTGGTAAAATAATTCAATGACAGGTAGTATGTGCAATACCGCATTTCTGTCCGGTCGTGGCGTAATCATTTTATTCAGACATATACATCACAGACATTGTATTCAGCGAAATTTCTTTCGGTCCGTACACATAAATTATCATTTAGCCAGCAAATACAAACCTTATCCTACATAAATTGCCTCGCAATACATTGTATAATGTTCTCGTTATGCATTAAAAATAAACCACTATACCGTTCTTTATAACACATTTTCGCGAATCCAAAGATAAAAATGGATCAGTTGTCTCTGGAAAAATACGTACGGAGGACTTGTAAATAATGCCAACATATATGTACACGGTTATGAGTTGGTATATAAATAAACGAATAGTATTGCAAGCAGAAGGGTAACTCTATAAATTCTGTGCGTGCATTGCGGTTTAAGGTGAAGTGAAACACGTCGAGGAACTTGATCGACGTCGATAAAGAAGATTTTTCTAAATGTCTACGTTGCCGATGTTCGTTTTTAGATTGACAGCTGGGCCGAATTATATTGGGTATTGTACCAAATGGCATACTCCACCTGCCGTTTTCGTACAATAAATATCAAGAAATCGAAGTAAAACTCCAGAAATCCTCTGGGTTCGTGCTTTCTGGGGCCGTAATTGACTGCAGAGGGACACCCTGCGCCATCTGTGATTTCTAGGTCAATTAAATTTTCACGCCAAGACCTCGTATTCCCAACGTTTTAGCATAGAAGCGCATACAACACTTTCTTTACCTTTATCTCGTTCAAATGCGAGTTTATCGATTACCAGAGTGTTCTAAATTGTCGTAAAATTGTCCTGACTCTTTCGTTTCTCATATCAGAGCCTTCGATAATTGTATATTCATCGAAATATGAGAGCTCAACGCCATTTTGGTTCTGGCCTGGGCTAAGTGAACAAAATAAAAAAAAAAAATCCAAATTTTGAATATGTCAGGACAATTCTTAGATGATCAGGAGTGATGCGTCAAAATTTCGGACAGTTTTGTCTAATACCCTTAAAAAAAAGTGTTGTATTCGAATTTACTGATTTGAAGGGGGTTTCACTTCACCTTAACAATCATTAGATATTTTTAAGTACAAAGAGTTCTCAATTGTGTCAGCGCGTTCCGATTTTTCAAACATGTTCGTCAATCCAATGAACGTGATTAATTTATTGCTCGCAATATTTCAAACAATGCATTTACTATCGATTGAATTCAATCATCAAGAAGTAATTCTAAACGAATCGATTCAAAAAATTCTTATGCAAAGTATATTCGACTACAATTTATCAGAAATAACCGAAGATTCGACATTAGATTTCGAAGAAGCCTTTACAGAAATGGCCACAGAATATGTCGAAGGTGCAGAGGATTGGAGTGAGGAAGAGGTGCCTGGATCTTCTTCATTTGTGTGCCCTCGTCCAGTACAAGATGATACTGATTTGAATACGAAAAACGAGCAACAGATTACTGGCGGAGTGGAAGAAAAGACTATCGCAAGTTTCACAGTTGTGACGGGCAAGCCGTCACGGGGTTTAAAACCCGCGCCACCGGCCAGTGGCGCCCTCAGGCCCTGAGCCGCCGCGTTAGGCGCGCGGCCCAGGACACCGCGCCGGCGCGCCCGAGCCCCACCGAGCCGGCCCGATGCGCGCCGAAGGCCCGGCGGGACGAGGCCCGCCGAGCACTCTTCCGTCCGACCTAGCGTGAAGACTACGTGTGTGCCCGAGAATAAACCACGCCTGAGAGCCCGAACCGGAGCCGCCTAAGCCGTCCCTCCGACCGCCGACCGGTCGCCGGCCACCCGCCACCGCCCGGCCGCCTCACCGCTGCAAGCCTGCCCCTTCGGTATCGAGAAGGCCGAGCCCGAGCCATCCTGCCGGCCCGTTGCCACGAGGCGCACGCCGTCCGCCATTAGGCCCTGTCACCAGCGCGCCCGTCTAGCCGTAAGTAGTTTAAGTCGTAGGGTAAGATAATAGATTCGGATTAAGTGTAGTTAGGGTAATCGGTTAGAATTAAGTAATTTAATAGAATAGCATTAGAAATAAAGAAGTGGACTAGAAATTCCGGGTCTCATTCTCCCCTCCCCCGTCCTTCCCATTTTCCTCGTTACACAGTGTCCAGAATTAATTTAGAAAACTTTCTGATTGTCGTCAGTTTACGAAGTGGGCAAAACAAGTGGATGAAGGAGGGACTGGGAGAAAAAAATTGATACACATCTCGAGATTTACATTGAACAAATTACGGAATGCTATCGATGCTGGATTAATAGCGCACGATTCCGATATTAAAAAATGGGCCTCAAAAGCTTAGGGATAGCAGAGCGGCAACAACATGCATTTCATGGCTTCTGTAAAATGGATATATAATTTCAAAGAAACTCATCGCACTGTTTTTAGAAAAATCACAAAATTCATTTCAAGAAAGACAGTAGAAGACGTTGAGAGTTTGGAAAGATCAGGTGATAAGTTTGTTAACCTTTAAAGGTTCTTACAGCAGAGTACGGGCCTCAAAATGTATATAATTCTGATCAAAGTGGATTCCAGCTCGAGATTCATTCAGGACGTACGTTAATGTATAAGGGAACGCAAAAAGTGGAATGTTGTGCTCAATTCATATCGGCCACAACTCACAGTTATAGGATTCAACCAATAATCTCTTGTCATGGTCAAATGAA